AATTCAGCAAGTAATTATCTTGCATCAATTCATTAAAACAACTAGTCTCAACCATAACAATCAGCATTACCGATTCATCGGTCTAGTGCGTACAGCCAACATTTGGCACTATCAGAAGCAACCACGTTTTAAAGAAAGTGCTTAATAAAATTCAGCAACGAAGAAAATCAACTAAAACAAAAAAATTAATCATTCATCCTCCCAAGAGTGCTACGTATCAGAGCGACCAACGACACCTTAAACGGAAAGCTACACTCTATTCCGAGTTACCTGCAAATTACCACCAACGGAGGTAACATACAACGTAAAGGGTGAGATATCAAAATTATAACATAAGGCATGATAAAATTCATGTCAGGATCATATCACAGCATTAAAATTCTCGCAGTTCTCCAAATATTATCACAACGAACTACCAGGAAATTCATCATTCATATATGCAACAATTAGCAAGAAAATTCAGCAACTCATAATTACTTGCAAACACATAATGACGCGACTTAACTATGCGACTCAACTGTGCATATGCATGTGGTACCAATTCGGAGCAGCACTCCAGAACCAATTTATTTGCCATTAAAGACCGCCAATACAGGCACAACCAAAGCCAATACAGGCCAACCAGGATGATATGCTATGAGATGCATCTATTATGTACTACAACACAACCATAACAACTACGCAACAAGGCCTTAAGCCTACAACCAAATTGTCCATAATTGAAACATCGCAATTTCATACTCATCATATAACCATAATTTCCAATATGATATAATCAGGTAAAAGTATAGTAACAAGTTCTCTCAACAAATGGAAAATTAGCGCGTGTCGGCGTCGTTCCCAATACTATTACCTAGAACTAATGACATAAAACACTAATTCAGACACAGACAAACATTAATCCTTAATATTTCTCAACCTACGGGAACATTACTCAACCTTCGGGAATATTAACCCTTAATATTTCTCAACCTACAGGAACATTACTCAACCTCCGGGAACATTAACCCTTAATATTTCTCAACCTACGGGAACATTACTCAACCTTCGGGAACATTGACCCTTAATGTTTCTCGACCTACGGGAACTAACCCCATGATTCAATTCCCTTCATGAAATTGATCATACCCATAGTTATAGAATTGAACCTCACCCTTACCTTTGGATTGAGGACAACTTTAAACTCCCGGTTCCAGTTTGCTCTCTGATGACTCTTCTGCAACTACTTTGAATTCTCTCCGGCGGTTAATTCCTCTGTTCTCAATTTCCCTCAGCCGCGTTCCTTTTTCCTTTTTGCTCCTTCTCCTCAACCTTTCTCCTTAATTTTGGTTCTGAGCAGTTTATCGTGTTTTCCTCTTTTTCCCCACAACTTCTCTGATAACTCCCCTATTTCACTTGTTCCATCCACTAATAATACAAATAATAATAATAATAATAATAATAATAATTAATAATAATAATAATAATATTACTACTAATTATTAAATTATCATCATTATTAATTATATTATATTATTATTAAACTCTATATTTTATTAAAGGATTTCCTATACTTTAAGGGCACCCGCCAACGCTCTCATACACACTCCCACATAAAGGCACACCAAAAATTCATAAATAATTTAATTTAAAATGATTGGGCGTTACATGGGGAGGCGATGCCGGAGGAAATATGACTTAGGAATTGGAGAGAAAGATGCGAGAGTCGTACCCTGAGTTATTTGCGTCAGGTAATTTTCGAGGACGAAAATATTCTAAATGGGGTAGAGTTGTAACCCCCGTTTTATTTTAAATTATTTTTTGTAATTTAATTTCGTAAAATTGAGTGTTTAGATGTGATTATGTGTGCTTTGTTATGATTGGGGTACTCTCCTGTAGAGGGTAGTGACCTTAATGTTAATGACCTTAAGGATGAGTGTGAGGCTAATTTGTTAGAATTTATGGTGTGGTGAGAATGATTAATAAGTAATAGTAATATTTTAAATTATTAAGAGATAACGATATTATTATTTTAGTGGTGAAATCATTAGTAATAATAATATTGGAATTATAACAATATAAAAATAGTAAGGTGAAAATAAGAATGAGGGGCAGAAGTGGCATTTGGGAGAATTTTGAGGACATAATAGAGATTTAGTGGAGTAACTGAGGGCATAGGAGGAAAAACATAGTTGAAGGAGTTATAAAGGAATTGGAAGAGAGTGGAGTCAGATTTTTGGGATCGCACGTGAATTTGGAACTGAAAGTGAAAGAGGCTAGGGCAAAGAAGAGGAAGAACTCCATTAGAGAAGAGAAAACTCATCAATCTAAGGTAAGGGTGGGGTTCTGATCTTGTAAGGGTTAGTATGTTGAATGATGTGTAAAATTTAGGTTTTGTCATATGGGTGGAATGTTGTTCTATGTTATGATTGCTATGAATAATCGATAAATGATTAAATTGTTAGTTTATTTATGATAAACGATGTTTTTCTAACTGATATGTGATGAGTTTTTTTACCTATAGGTGTGTGTGGTGTTTCTGTTTTAGAAATTGTTGAAAATTTCTCCATTGTTGAGTTTTAAAGTTTCGAGTCGAAAGTATGAAATTAATGATGATATGTTGTTAGTCCATGAGTAAAACATAATATAATTGACTTTTAGGATGTTATTTTGGTATAAAATTAGGTATATGCTGATGAGGTTTAGTGGCATAGGCTCTGGTATGAAAAACTGGTGTGAAATAGCTTTTAAAAAAAGTGATTTTTGGGGTTCAGAACAACGTGCGTCGACCTCTAGGATCTCCTGGGTCGACCTGATGCTACCCAAATGTAATATTATGGAAATTTGAACAACATTTATCGACGCATAGGTCTTGCGTCGACCTATGCACCCTGCTCATCGACCTGTGTGTTGACTCATTGGCAGAAAAACGCCAGAAACAGTTTCGATCTTAACTTTATAACTATTAATCCAAATGATGAATCGTTCGAGGCGCTGGAAAGCTGACAAGCAGAACTTTAACATGTGAGAATTATATGAGCCATTATTCCAATATTTTCATGTCTAATATGTTGAGGAACATTATTATTACTTGTTTTGTATGTTAAGAAATCCTGTTGTAAGTGACAAAATTTGAATGTTGTTGTAAAGAGGTTGTTGTAGTGTTATTGGTGTAATATGAACATGTTTAATGATTTTGTGTGATTGTGAAATATATATATATATATATATATATATATATATATATATATATATATATATATATATATATATATATATATATATATATATATATATATATATATATATATATATATATATATATATATATAGTACGAAACATATTTTCATGGTAGTGGGTTATTGTACACGATGTTGTTGTTGTTGTTGTTGTTGTTGTATGTATATATAAATAGTTGCATTGCATACATTGGTGGACAAATGATTCGTTGTTGGTGAGCCTAAAATCTCATTGTGTGGATCGGGTCGGTAGATGATTCGGAGGTGATGGATCAGTGAGTGGTTCTGATCCTAGCTAGGAGGTGGAGATCAGAAAGGTGAACCTGAGTGTTCACGAAAATTGGTACCACGTGCATAAGCATTGAGTTGGGTGTGAGTCTTATTACATTATATATTATCCATTATGCTATGTTGATAAGTATGTAGTGTTGTGTGATGAATCGATTTGTTATCGTGTGATTTTCTGTTGATTGGTGAATAATCAGTGATGATATTGTTGAGTGATTGATGTGAGATATTTAGTTGAATTGTTTTAGTGTTGACTTAATGCATGTTTTTTAACATGCTTTTCTTTATATTATCATGATATATCACCCCTTCTGTTTGAATATTGCCTCCACGTGGGTAATGCGTAGATAATCCACAGTAGTAGCTCATATGTGAGTGGAAGATGAAGTCTTCCGTATATTCTTTTAGTTTGACGTCTGCTCTGATATGTAACACTGGAGTTATGAAACGTTGCGAGCTTTTTATTTTTGGTGGTTGATTACCATGTAATTATTTCTTGATAATGTTATTTTAAATAATTTTTAAAAGAACATGTGTTACATATCTGATTGAATGAGTAAGAGGTTGTTGAAAGTGTGACATTTCTAAATATGATTTTGTGGGTAATTATTCTGATTTTATTTATAATACACAGGGGACATATATTCATCAAAACCTTAAAATGATAGGTGTGTGGGTTTTCCCACATATAAATATTCAATTCTCCACATTTCTAATCAATATAAGACTATTATCCATATTACTTACATTTATTATACTTAATAATTCTGTTTAGTGAATTTTTAATCCACACGTACTTTATTATAGACAATTCATTATTCATACCAAAAAAAAAACATCTTCAGTTCACAATTAAATAAAATACAAAATTATATTTATATTTTATATTTTGAGTGTTGGACACTCAATACAATCAAAATAACATTTTTTAAGAAGCTGTATCTCCATGACCAAAAGCTATTGGAGCAAAGTTTTCTCCCTTTCTCTAGTATAAAATGTTCAAATTAAAGTTTATATTGATGTGGACAAAAAGGAACAAGTTATTATAATGTTAGTTTAAAAGGTCTCTTTCAACTTACATACATCACATACAATAGTTGATTTAAGTCATCATATACTATCATTAAAATGACGATTACATGCACGCCTAAACATTATATATTTGCTAGTGGAGGTGATGAAACCATGATAATAAAAAAGTGATTTGACTTTGAAATCCAAATCACCTACTATGTTTTACTTAAAACAAGAGACCTTTTTTAGGATCCAGGCTGTTTTTCATTCCATCTTTAGAGAGAAAAAAAACAGCACACATACATAAATAAAAATTCATTTCATACAAAGTCTTAAAAGTATATTTTCTTTCTAACTTTTTCAATAATCTAAGACAATGTTTTTGATGATTTTATAAAGCAACTAATACAATCATATTCTAACTTTCAAACATATACTACATAACTATGCTTTTATTATTGAATCAAATCCAGTCAAAATTAATGAGTGAAACCATTCTCCTTCACTTCTTTTTCTTCTGATTTTTCATTAGCCTTAACCTTCTCTTTCTCTGCCTCATCCTCAACCTTTTTCTTTGCTTCCTCCTCAGCTTTTTTCTTTTCAATCTCAAGAGATTGAATCAAATTCTTCAAACAAGACTCATAATCTTCTGTAACAGACTTTGGCATCAAATTCTCAGCAACATCAGCAGGTGTCATATTAATCTCTCCCAACAACTTTTCAATAACCGGAAACAACTCATCATGAGACTCAACATCTAAGTAATTCCTTGCAAGAACCTTGAAAGCTTCATAGCTACAATATGACATCTCTATGTGTTTATCCATCTTTTTCCTCCTAATGAGAGCAGGATCAAGTTTGTCCACAAAATTCGTCGTAAAAATTATAATCCTCTCCAATCCACACGCTGACCAAATTCCATCTATAAAATTCAACAAACCAGATAAAGTTACCTTACTTTTCTTTTCCTCTTCTTTTTCATCCTTTTTAATAGGATCCACTTTTTCATCATTCTGATCATCTTTCTCATTTTTCTCCTTCCTTTGGCCAGTGAGATCAAGAGAACAATCAATATCTTCGATAACTATAATCGATTTACTCGACGTATCAATCAATAGTCTCTTCAACTCGATGTTATCCTTAATAGTTGTTAACTCAAGATCATAAACATCATAGTTCATGAAATTAGCAATAGCAGATATCATGATTTTCCAGTCCCCGGTGGACCGAAAAGTAGATAACCGCGCTTCCATGCTTTCCCAACTTTTGCATAATACTCTTTCCCTTCTTTGAACTTAACAAGATCGTTTATGATCTCGTCTTTCTTCTCCGGCTCCATTGCAAGTGTTTCAAATCTTGCAGGGTGCTCCAATATAGTGTGACTCCATTTTATGGATCCCCACCAATTATCGCTTGGATTATTGGTGTAAAGCTTTAACTGTCTGTTATTCGTCGTAATAGCCTTTCCTTCTTCCAACACATGTTGAATGTACGAGGTAGTTATAACATCGCGATTTCTTTTGTGAAACGTTAATATTAAGAATCTTTTCTCATCCGGAGCCGGATAGTAAGAAAACGATTGTGATTTTGAAGTGGTATGATTTGCAGACCACCAAACTTTGATGCCGTTGTACTCGTCGACGATTTCTTGATTATCGTCCATGCTTAGAACAAGGGGAGTTTGGCTATCTTTGACAACTTCGGCTTTAAGTTTTCTAGCACCTTGCGAAGAGTTCGAACTGAGATATGTTTGGATGGTTTTGTAAGTCTCGTTATGTTTGAGTTTCTCTCCGGATAATTCATGGAATTTGATTTTGTTGTGAATCGGATACCTTTAAACAAAGTATAAACGGTTTCTTAATGATTAAGAAACTCACAAGGGTTAGGGTTAACAAAGAAAACAAGGTAAAACAACAAGGAACAACAAGGATTGGTTATTAAACTGCTATTCTTTCCTTTCTCTTAGAACAAGATTACAAGTATACAAGAATAACAAAATAACCTCTCTCTCTTGAAATTAGGATTTTATCTTCCTATTTTTCCTTATGCTAAGATTGAGAAACTAGTATTCTATTTATAATAAAATAGCACACTAATCTAATGGGCTTTTTAACAATTACCTATTACAAGCCAACTTAGGGTACAAGCTAACTTAAACAATTGGGCTTTCAAGCAAGACCCAATTCAACATGCTAACAACCGTAGCAATATTTACTAATGCATGTTAGAACAGACTTCGACTACAACACGCATTACTTGCGAACAAACTTCGACTATAATAGAGTTCAATCCAACATCTCACAAATCTCCACCTTGGATCTAACTCTATAACATCAAGAAACTAGCTTTATTCATTCAGCTTTATTAACTGCATACAGTGGAAAAACATGCAACTGGGCAATGTCTTGGTGATCATATCAGCAGCATTATGATCTGTCGAAACTTTCAGCACTTGGACTTCTCCACGCTCGATTGCCCTCTAATGAAATGCAGTCTCACATCAATGTGCTTGGTTCGCTCATGATAGGTTGAATTCTTCGACAGGTGTATTGCACTTTGACTATCACATTTAACAGTGATAACTCGACCTTGAAGTTTTAGCTCCTTTGCAAAACCTTCAAGCCACAATGCTTCCTTCACAGCTTCAGTTAGAGCAATATACTCCGCTTCAGTGGTTGATAGGGCAACGACCTTCTGAAGTGTTGCTTTCCAACTGATTGCTGTCCCAAACATAGTGAACACATATCCAGAGATAGATTTTCTAGAATCTATATAACCTGCATAATCAGAGTCGACATATCCATCGATTGCTGCTTTACTATCTTCACCCAAGGCTCCACCATAAATTAGGACTCTATTCAGAGACCCATTTATGTACCTTAAAATCCACTTCAATGCTTGACAGTGAGCCTTTCCAGGATTCGCCATGTACCTGCTTACAAGACTTACTGCATATGCTATGTCGGGTCTAGTACAGACCATAGCATACATCAAAGAACCTACTATGTTAGCATATGGAATGCTATTCATATAAGTTCTTTCAACATCAGTGATGGGACACTGATTTATACTCAGCTTGAATTGAGGGTTTGTCGGAGTCACAACAGGCTTTGAATTCGACATACCAAACTTTTCGAGAACCTTCTGTAGGTATGCCTCTTGAGATAAGCATAATTTCGAATGCTTTCTATCTCTCTGGATGTCAATCCCAAGAATCCTGGACGCAACTCCCAGATCCTTCATTTCGAACTCTTTATTGAGTTCAGCCTTCACCCTCATTACCTCTTCGACATTGTTGCTTGATATTAGAATATCATCCACATAGAGCAACAAAATAACAAATGAATTACCCGGTCGAAATCTGAAGTAAACACAGTGGTCGAACTGCCTTCTGATGAAACTTATGTGTGCCATGAACTTGTCGAATCTCCTATTCCACTGTCGAGGAGATTGTTTCAGTCCATATAAAGATCTATTCAGTTTGCACACATAATCTTCCTTCCCCCTTTCGACATACCCTTCAGGTTGCCTCATCAGGATTGTTTCATCTAGATTACCATACAAGAAGGCAGTCTTCACATCCATCTGTTCCAGTTCAAGGTCGAACTGGGCCACCATGGCAAGCAACATTCGAATAGATCTGTGCTTCACAACAGGAGAGAACACATCATTAAAGTCGATACCTTCTTTCTGAGTGAACCCCCTAGCAACCAATCTTGCCTTGTATCTCTTCGACGTCACTCCTTCGATTCCTTCCTTAACTTTGAAAATCCATTTACAACTGACTAACCTGGCTCCAGCAGGTTTCTTGATCAGTTCCCAGGTGTTGTTATCATGAAGAGATTTCATCTCATCATCCCTGGCCTTCAGCCATTCAGTCTTCTTTCGACTCCTCATAACTTCCTTATAGTCTCTAGGTTCTTCATCTAGAACCTCACTAGCAGAGATTAAGGCATAAGCTATAAGATCTGCATACCCAAGTCTCTGAGGTGGCTTGATGACTCTCCTCGACCTATCCCTTGCTAGCAGGTAGTCATTATCAGTCTCCTCATCTTCGACAGCATCTTCTGCGTCTTCTTTGACTTCATCTGGGGTACGCAATTCAGCATCAACATGTTCCACCTCAACAGGAATTTCTCCTTGTTCCAGCTCTTTGTCAGCATCATTAGTTTTCTTGAAAGCCATCTCTGCTTCATTGAAAACTACATCTCGACTGGTGATACACCTCCTGTGACCTGGCTCTAGGCACCATAGCCTATAAGCTTTGACTCCTTCAGGGTATCCCATTAGCATGCATTTCAGAGCTCTAGGTTCGACCTTGTCTTGCCTAATATGAGCATAGGCCACACAACCAAATACTCTCAATTTGTCAAGACTAGGTGGATGTCCCGACCAAACTTCTTCAGGTGTCTTCATTCCCAAGGCAGTCGAGGGACATCTATTTATTAGGTAAGCTGCTGTCGAAACAGCTTCTGCCCAAAACACCTTCTTCAATCCAACACTAACCAACATGCATCTAACCCTTTCAAGGATTGTTCGATTGAATCTCTCAACTAAGCCATTTTGTTAAGGAGTACCTACTACAGTCTTATGCCTTGCAATCCCAGACCCAACACAGTAATTGTCGAACGCTTCGTTGCAGAATTCAAGGACATTTTCGGTTCTCAACCTCTTAACCTTTCTGCCAATTTGAGTTTCGACCAGAATCTTCCAACTTTTGAAATTCTCAAAAGTTTCATCCTTCGTCTTCTGAATGAATACCCATAGTTTTCTGGAATAGTCATCAACGATGGATAGAAAATACCTTGCACCTGAGTGTGAAGGATTCCTTGCAGGCCCCCAAAGATCAGCATGAATGTAATCCAGGGATCCATGTGTTCTTTGCTTGCCTTTGTTAAACTTCGCCCTACAGGATTTACCAAATACACAAGATTCACAAAATTCCAAATTTTCGACTTTGTCACCTCCTAGCAGGTTCTGCTTCCCCAATTCGACCAGGCCTTTTTCGCTGACATGGCCCAATCTCATGTGCCATAATTCTGTCTTCGACATAGATTTCGTAGATGCAACATTTGTTGAACCACTTACAACCTCAGCCTCAAGGGTATACAAGCCTTGTTTCTTCACGCATCTCAAGACTTCCTTCGACCCCTTCATGACTTTTAGGATACTTTTATCTCCTTGAAAAACATATCCTTTTCTGTCGAATTCACCAAGAGAAATTAAATTTCTCTTCAAGTCAGGTACGTACCTGACTTCAGTCAATACCTTATTGACTCATCATGGAGCTTGAATCTCACAGATCCAATACCTGCAATTTTGCAAGATTTGTTGTTTCCTAACAGCACAGATCCACCATCTTGATCACATAGCTCCTCGAACAATTCTCTGTTTGGAGTCATGTGCCAAGTGCAACCTGAATCCATAATCCACTCTTTCCTCGAGTCGCCACTTGAAACCACAAGAACATCAGATGAGTCGAAGTCATCTTGAACAATGGCTGCATTGCCATTATCTCCATGATCTTTCAGGCGTTCAGGGCACACCTTTCTTATGTGACCCTCCTTCTTACAGTGATAACATCGAATACAAGATGTTTCGCCACTATAAGACTTTTGTTGACTTTTACCTTTCTTCTTGTCGAACTTACCATCCTTTCGTAAGAATTTTCCCTTAACGGCCAAACCTTCGCCCACCATCGAAGGTTTATGCTCCTTTCGTTCGTTCAAGTCCTTAGAATACAAGGCTGATTGAACTTCTTCAAAGGTCAGGGACTCCCTTCCATACAAGAGAGTTTCTTTGAAGTGAGCATGTGTTCTGGGCAAAGCACACAGCAGCAACAGTGTTTGATCTTCATCATCGATCTTCACATCAATATTTTCAAGATCAAGAATCAGCTTGTTGAACATATCCAACTGCTCAGCCAACACTTTGTCTTCACTCATCTTGAATGAATATAAAGCTTGCTTCAGGTATAGTCGATTCACCAGAGATTTGGTCATGTACAAACTTTCAAGTTTCACCCATAATCCCGATGTTGTAGTCTCCTTTGATACCTGTCGAAGAACCTTATCACCAAGGCTCAACAATATTGCGTTGTGGGCTTTCTCGATCATGCCCGTCTTTTCTTTTGCCGTTAACGCAGCGTCCATGACTGCCTCACCCTTCAACGCTTCCAAAC